CAGGGCAATAGAAAGCAAATACAATGTCCTCATTTTTCTTTTGGGTTGCTGTGCCTGAAGAGAACTTTTGTAGACAACCAGTAGGCTTCAGATTATCTCAACACAAGTGCTGGGGTGGAAAATCGGTGTTTCTATTTGTTGTTGTTCAGTTAGCTAAGTTGTGTCCAACTCTTTGCGTCCCCATGAACTGCAGCACACCAGGCTTCTCCCTGAGTTTGCTCAACTCATAGCCATTGAGTCAGTGATGCCATCCAAACATCTCATCCTCTGTCACCCCCTTCTCCTGCCCTCAATCTTTCCCAGCATCAGGGTCTTTTCCAATGAGTTGGCTCTTCACCTAGGTGGCCAAAGTATTGGAGCTTCAGCTTCAGTCCTTCCAATGAATATTCAGGGTTTATTTACTTTAGGATTGACTGGTTTGATCTCCTTGCTGTCCAAAGGACTCTCAAGAGTCTTCTCTTGTACCACAACTTGAAAGCATCAATTCTTGGGCACTCAGCTCTTTTTATGGTCCAACTCTCACATCTGTACATGACCAAAGGGAAAACAGACAGGCACAAGGGGATGGACCCATGGATAGAAGTAAACCTCGGCCTCCTATCAGGGTGTCCTGACTATCCTAGGTGGCCACCATCCAGCAACAAGGGCTCACAGCGGTAGAAGAGAGTGCTGGGGGGAGGGGCACCAGAAAGAAAACTCCTGGGGGTGACCCATGTCCTTCCCACTCCTTCTTATGATAACCAATCCTGTGATCATGCCTAACGTGAGGGGTACAGAGAAGTGAAATTCCTTGTGTGCCTCAAGGTAGCGCTGGTCCAGATGTTGGGAACCTGAATCTATCAACCCTTGTGTTGCCAGAGAGGAGGCAGGATTTCAGATAGCTCAGCTTCAGGATGCTCTGCTCACACCAGGGATGGATCTGGCTGCCCTGGCCACCTGGGAGAAGCCAGAGGGAGCACGTGTGTGTAAAGGGAATGCCACCAAAATCTTGGCTTTCTCTGCCCACCAAAGTGGGATAAAAAAACCCAGAGAGTTTGGAGGAAATAGAAAGGCAGCTTCAATCCTCAGCCGGCGGAGAGGGAGAAAACGGTAGGCTCTTGCCTCAAGAACTGTGTCCCCCTTCCATGAGGAATCTGGGGGCTTATGTTAGATGAGGCCTCACAGTCAGGGCTAGGTGATGAGGAACGACGGTGTAAGGATCCTGTATTCTTTCTCTTGCATTGTTTTAAAAACAGCATGGGCTGGCATCAGGTGGTCTGTTGGAGTGAGTCCGGCCGTCTGGTAGCCTGGTAGTTGAGTCTTGTCTTTTGTGTGTTGTACTGGGCCTTCTTTCTATTATGTAAAAAAGAGAAAAACTACAAGGGGGGATCTGTGGGGAGAGTGCTGTAAAGGTGAGCACCAGATACAGGAATACAGGTGCAAAATGTGAGTTGGGGGCCAGGAAAGCAAACCTAGTTACAGACTACAGATTAGGAACAATTAAAGTAAAAACTCGAGTGGCCAGGGCTTCTCACTTTTCTCTTTATCTTCTTTGGTCTCAGGAAAGAAAAGAAAAACTCATTCCTCTTTTTTCCTTTTCCCTGCAACAGAAACTCTCCCTTTGGCCCCAGAGGAGAGCAAAGAGTTTCTTGGTGGGACTTCCTGGGTTGGTGGAAAATCCAATCAGTTCTGGGCTGTCTTCAGGCTAATGACTGGGGATTCTTGTGCCAAGGACTTTCCCCACACCCAATAGACCTGAATCGTTTGGGTTTCCTAGTGTGATTGGTTTTTTTTTTTTTTTTTTGGCTTGATTTTCATCTGCTCTCTTGTCTGTGCTGGGCACAGGGCTGGGGGAAATTATGCCTTCTGTGACCCTTAGGGGACAAGCCATTCTGGGTGGGCATATTTTCCAGGGAGTAAGAGATGATCTTTTGAAGCATAAAAAGAAAAATCTCCTCTGTTCTGACAGCTTAATAACTTGGGGAGGAAATATTTCTAAAATATATGTATGGTGGTGAATATTTGTACTCACTGCAAGCTGATGTCACAAAAATGAGCTTTTAATAACTTTTCTAATAAGAATCTCATTTGGCTACTGAGGCTCCTGTCAACTTAAAAAATAGTCACAACCTAAAAGTTGAGAGCTATGTTTTATTTGATGGGAATTTTTTAGGACTTCAGGCCTGGGAGACAGCAACTCAAGTAACCCTAAGAGAATTACTCTGAGGAGGTGGTGGGGAGGAGTTAGCTTGTATAGGAGTTTGCAACAAAGGGTAGGTAGTCTGAACATCTGAAGTATTTTTGTGAATTATAGAAAACCAATCTCGAATTAAGGAATTTAGTGCCCACCTGTGTATGAGAAGATGCAAGAGTCTGGGCTCACTGAAATCATTCCTTTCATAGGCATCTCAAAACACACACCCAGCATCCTGTGTTTTTTTCACATCCTGAGTTCTTCAGGGCTGACTGTAGAGAGTGACTGCTCCCTAATGTTTGCCAGGGCGTGAAGGTGTTCTTCTTTCTGAGAGCCCCGGAGGGCTGGGATCGCTGCTGACTGTGACATCTTTGTTTACTGATACGGCAGGAAACCCTCCACTTCTCACTCCTGTTAATGAGTAAAGGGGAATTTAAGCTGCCAGCTCATGTTATTCTGGTCTAGGTTGGCCCAGCTCTGCCTCTCTGGGTTTTATTCATTCTCTTTTGGGTATATGGCTCAGATCCTGCAGTATAGGAGACCCAGGTTCGATCCCTGGGTCGGAAAGACCCCCTGGAGAAGGAAATGGCAACCCCTTCCAGTATTCTTGCCCAGGAAACCCCATGGACTGGGGGGCTGCAGTCCATGGGGCTGCAAGAAGTCAGACAGGACTGAGCAACTAACGCTTTGGGTAGATGCTCCATCTTAGAGTTTCTGAACTTGCCACCTACTTCTCGCCAGGACCAGAGTCTGAGAATTGGGGAAGCTGTGTCCCCAGGGTGTGATGGGGAGGGTGGCTGGTCCCCATCTGCTGGCCCGGGGGCCCTTCACTTGTTTCCACGAAGATGTTCCTGGACCTGGCTGGTCACACAGTGTCCACCTACATCTCCTGCTGAAGTTCATGGCTGGGAAACCTGGGGTCTGGTCCTTCCTGGGAGTCAGAGGCAACGCACTGGCTGACGTGGCCCCACAGTGCCCTTGGTGGCTCTGTGGTCTTCTGTGCCCCAGCCATGGCCTTGTTTTCCCCCTTAGACTGGCTACCTGTGCAGGGGATACCCAAAACATGTACCAACCAGCAGGGCAGGAGCACCGATCCATCAGAGCAGCTGCTGCACTAGGCTTTGGACCATAAGCATCTCAGGGGAGCATCTCTGGAAAGGCAGAGTGTGGAGAGCTCAGGGCTTAAGGAAGTGGTTATTTACTAACTGGTAATGACATGTTTCTGGGCTTCCCAGGTGGCACTAGTGGTAAAGAACCTGCCTGCCAACGCAGAAGAGAAAAGAGACATGGGTTCGATCCCTGAGTTGGGAAGATCCCTTGGAGGAGGGCATGGCAACCCACTCCAGCATTCTTGCCAGGAGAGTCCTACAGACAGAGGAGCCTGGTGGGCTACAGTCCATGGGGTTGCAAAGAGTCAGACATGACTGAAGCAGTTTAGCACACATGTTCGCAAGGACATGTTTTCATAATCGGCCGTCCTGCTTCTTATGAACTGAGTGTCCCGCAGCCTCTAGGTCATCTTGTCCTTCATCACGGCAGCCCCATATCAGCTCAGATCTCAGCTTGCCCCAGTTCTCCACTGAAAGCACAGGGGGAGCTGTGTTTCCTCTCCATCAGCAAAGAGCTGAGACTCACAGGTAACTAACCCTGCCTCCCTCCACCTTAACATGCCAATGTCTCCATCCTCCTTGGTGCTGCCATCCTGATCAGGGCGCCCTACTTTACCCTGGTGGGAATTCCTTGAGGGACCCCATGGGAAAGCAGAGCTGTCCCTCTGCACTCAGATTTTGAGCCTGGAAGTGGGGGCAGAACCCATTTTCCCAACTTGCACAGCCCCTATGTTATGTCCACTTCCTGCCCTCCTTACCGAGCAAGTCTTTGCTCTTCCCCTTTTTGGGGACCATAGTGGCTGAAGACTCAGAGGAAATGGGAAGGGAAATACACTGGAAGATAATTCGCTGTTATCCCCACCACGTGCATAATGCACTTCCTAATCTTGAGAAAGAAGGTCCAGAGAAAATACATTCATTTGTATCATTTCTTTTTAGATTCACCAATAAGGAGTGATATGAGATTTCTCCTTCTCTGCCTGACTTACCTCACTCAGTAAGACAATCTCTGGGTCCATCTATGTTGCTGCAAATGGCATTGTATCATTCTTCTTAATGACTGAGAGCGAGATTTAAACTGTTCTTCATGATTCAGGGAAAATCATACAGACACCAGCTGTTTTGTGCTGGAACACCTGGACACTTTCAGGAAGCGTGGAGAGGTGGAGGGGGATGTTAGCGTCCACTCTTATGGGGTTCTGTTGTGCTGTTTGGTTCTTGTTCTCATCTTAGTAGTTTTTCTTCTCTGTTGTTGGGCAATCAGCTGCTGCATCTTTGTGGGTGTGTTTTCCTCTGTCAGCCCTCCCTCTTTTTCTGAGTAGCTGCCTCTTCTCAAAATCTAGGCTATGACAAATCTAGACAGCATATTAAAAAGCAAAGACATCACTTTGTCATATAGTCAAAACTATGGTCTTTCCAGTAGTCATGTATGGATGTGAGAGTTGGATCATAAAGAAGGCTGAGCACCTAAGAACTGATGCTTTTGAAATGTGGTGCTGAAGAAGACTCTTGAGAGTCCCTCAGACTGCAAGGAGATCCAACCAGTCAATCCTAAGGGGAATCAACCCAGAGTACTCATTAGAAGGACTGATGCTGAAGTTGAAGCTCCAATACTTTGGCCACCTGATGCAAAGAACCACACTCATTGGAAAGGACCCTGATGCTGGGGAAGGTTGAAGACAAAAGTAGAAGAGGGCAGCAGAGGATGAGATGGTTGGATGGCATCATCGATTCAGTGGACGTGAACTTGGGTGAACTCTGGGAGATGGTGAGGGTCAGGGAGGTCTGGTGTGCTGCAGTTCATGGGGGTGCAAAGAGTTGGACACAGCTTAGCGAGCGAACAACCTCTTCTCTGCTTCTCTTCGAACCATCTGGTCACCTTTCCCTGACCCTCAAGGCTCTCAGAAGACAGAGAAGGACTTCTGAGCTGCCCCCCCCAGAGTGGAATCTGGCCGTTGAGTGGAGCTTAGGGGTAGGCAAGCCTGCATCCTGAAATGACAGAAGTTTCTGATGATGAGTTCTTTCTAAGACTGGAAGTGTCCGTCTTACAAGGTGCCAGCGTGGCCATCTGTGGAGGATGCTGTTTGGGAAGACTCTGTAGGTGGGCTGCTAAGCTTGGTGGCTCCTGGAACCTCCAGCACCAGGTGCTTCCACCGAGCTGAGATCCAGTCCCAAGGATGAGGACCGTGTAGATTCAGGTTTACGTCCTGCTGCATCAGTCCATTAGCTCTCTGGCCTTGGGTTACCTGCTCAATGTACCTGAGTCTGTTTCCATTGCTCACGTTGACAGTGGGGATGACACACTCTTACCAGACCCATGGGTTTTGCTCTGTGGAGTTGTTCAGAGCACCGAACCCCTTTTACACAAACCTCGGGCTGGGAGAATTTGAAGCCTGGTGGGTTTGTACTGTGGGTGCCAAGGGCCTCAGGGGCCCAGCTGCCATGTCTGTCCTGCTGGGTGGCTGCAGGTGACTATTGAGCTAGAGGAGGGCTTGTTGAGGGTTGGCCTGTGGGAGGGGCTGATGCGGGAGGAAGGAAGCGTCTTTGCTTGCGGGTCCAGAACCCCCAGGGGCCCTGAACCACTGTGGCTTGCTGGGAGTGAAACCCATGAGAGGAGTGTTTGAGTGGCAGGATGAGATGGGCTGATTTGCTGAATCTCTTGGTAAATGGTTCCTGGGGCAGAAGTTGGTCAAAGTTCAAGAAGTTTGACAGGGGAAGAGTGATTTTATTTATTTTTTTATTTAACTTTTAAAATTTATTTTTGTTAAAAATTTTTTTATTGGAGTATAGTTGATTTATAATGCTGTGTTAGTTTCAGATGTACAGCACAGTGAATCAGTTATGTATATACATATATTTGCTCCTTTTTATTTTTTAGATTCTTTTCCCATATAGGTCATTACACAGTATTGAGTAGAGTTCCCTGCACTGTACAGTAGGTCCTTGTTGCTTTTCTGTTTTATATGTAGTAGTGTGTATTTGTCAGTCCCAATTTCCGAAATTATCCCTCCACCCTTCCTTACTCCCTGGTGGCCATGAGTTTGTTTTCTCCAGCTGTAACTCTCCTTCTGCTTTGTAGATAAATTCATTGGGAAAGGGTGATTTTAGAGCAAAAGGTACTTACTGGTATACAGTAAAATAAAAGAGTGTGTGTAGCCCATGGTGGAGCTGAGTCTCAGCCTTACCAGGTTCTCCCCTTTGAGATTCCGCCCAATGTGGCCCAGCGGCTGGTTCTGCCAAAGATGGGTCTTCCTGTGCCCTGGCTTCCAGTTAGCACATCTGTCCCCCTGACCCCATTAGGGTCAAGACTTGCCAGTGACGCAGCCACGCAGACCTGAAGCCATCCCACCGTCCTGCTCCGAATCCCCTTAATCCCAGAAGGGAGGGAAATGCTAGCCTCTCTTTTCTATAGGACAAAAGTAGTGTGTGGACATCTCTCAAGGATTCCGCTCTGAACCAACACGTTTGTCTGCCTCAAACCTGTCTTTTATTTCTCTGTGTCTGAAGTTAGAGAATCTCAAATGCCTAACATTCTGTGCTTCCCAGAGACTTAGTTCCAAATACTTTTTATTTGGCTTCAACATCGAATTAGTGATTGTTTTCCAAGCTTAATTTTGATGTAAATATTTATTTCCCCATAGGTTTCAGGGGGTTTTGTATCACATGCCTGAAACACCCTGTTTAGATTTTTAGGAATCTATTTTGCATACTGGACGTGACTCAGTGGTAGGTGTGAGGCTGGAGAGCTATTTGACTTCACTGATCGTCAAGATCTGTCACCTCATTTTTGTGTTTTGGATGACTGTACTTCCTGACTCATAGATGGAAGCCACTCATAGTGGCTTAAAACCTTCCGGGAACAAGGTAAACGCAGAAATAAAGAAAAGTTTCATCTTCTAGGTGGATTAAGAGAGATACTCAAATATACTAGAGAATAAGATGTTTGCTCCTTTTAAATGCCTGAAGATTTATCTCTGGAGCTAACGTTTGCTTATTTACTCTCAATAAACTTTCAGGTGTTCAGGGGAAATTATGTGTTTGTGTGTGTGTGTGTGTGTGTGTGTGGCCCAGGTGGGCCAAACAGGGCTGGGGGTCCAGCCAGGGTTTGGGGGCCCAGGCCCCACTTCTGAAAACTATGGGAAATTAATATTTACATCAAAATTAAGCTTGGAAATTTTTTCTAAATTAAAAGCTGAAGCAAAATGAAAAGTATTTGGATCTAAGTTTCTGAGAAGCACAGAGGTCATGAGGGGTCATGGGGGGCTCAGAAGGAGAGACAGACAGAAGACAAAGAGAGAAGATGAGAATAAACCAAAATTGGTGGCTCTGGGTAAGATACACTGGGCTTCCCAGGTGGCTCAGTGGTAAAGAATCCACCTGCCAATGCAGGAGACACAGGTTCGATTCCTGGGTCAGGAAGATCCCCTGGAGAAGGCAGTGGCAACCCACTCCAGTATTCTTGCCTGGAGAATCCCATGGACGGATAAGCCTGGCGGGCTACAGTCTGTGGGCTCTCAGAGAGTCAGACAGGACTGAGCAACTAAACAATAATAACAAGGTAAGATACATACCGGTGTTATACTTTTTAGTATATATCACGTTCTGCAACTTGTTAGTCTGTTGGAATTGTTCAGAATTAAAGTAAAAGGTGAAGGAAACACCTGCACATGTGTACGCTGCATGTCCATCCTTGAGCAGGAGTCAGGCCCAGGGTCACAGGTGGGTACAGTCACCTGGGCCTCAGGGGGCCCGTGGTGGACGCTGCTCAGGCCTCCCCCTCCTTCCCCCGCCTGGGCACCCCTGGCTTAGGCTGAACCATCAGCAGTTTCCACCTTACTTCATTCTTTTTCTTTTTTCAATTTTCCCCACATTTGTGGTCATTTTCTGAGCCTGGCCCTGCTTTCCCTCCTATTGCTCTCTACTTTTACACTGAGTTCAGCAAAACAGGTCATTTGACAGAAGAAAAAAATAAAGCTAGAATTGTAACTCAAATACTTGGAACAAAATGCCTTTATAATTTCTTTCTTCCAGTAAGAAGGTCATCTCAGATTCAAGCAGAAATGTCAAATTGCCTGTAATTTAAAGATGCATTTAAAGAAAGTAGGACAGGAAAACAGCATTTTGCTGCAAAATGAATTCTTCTTCCTCGAGGCTGCCAAAAACTGATGTTTCCCACACCGCGGCAGCTCTGGTTCCAGCCTGCTTCTGAGGTTTAGATGATTGAAAATGATCACTGCTATGTGTTTGTGGTTTAATTGTCTGAAGCCACTTCCTGGAGAGGTCACAGGGCAGCTGCTGTTTTGCCAGAGTCCACAGAGAGGACTGGAGACAGCTGCCTTCGGCTGGGGGTCCAGGCCAGGGATTGGGGAGCCTGGGTGGCGCTGGGGGCCCAGAAGGGGATCTGTGGCCCAGGTGGGGCTGGGGGTGCAGGCAGGGTCTGGGGGTGGCACTAGGTGGGACTACGGGGGCCTAGTGGTGGCTTGGGGAGCCATGGTGGGGCTGGAGGTCCAGGCAGGGCCTAGGGTCTATGTGGGGGACCCAGGTGGGACTGGGGGTCTGGGCAGGGGGTCAGGGGCCCACGTGGGGCTCAGGGTCCAGGTGGGGGGTCGGGGACCCAGGTGGGACTGGAGGGTCCAGGAGGGGTCAGGGATGGATGGGCAGGGGCTGGTCTGGGAGGAGAGCAACAGTGTAGAATTTCGTTCACCTGGAACAGGGTGTCCTTGTTGCATCAGCTCTGCTCCTCACCCCCCCTGCCCCCAGATGTGGTTTTGAGAGGAGGGTTAATGTCTGTCTTATGTTCATCGCCTGAAAAGAAAGTGATAGCACGAGATTTCTTGGATCCCCTCCCAGCTCCAAGGCTTCAGCAAGCAACCACCCCAGAGTGGACGCAGCCTGACTCTTGGGGTCAGAGTGACTTTTAAATAGTTACAAACCTTCTCCCCATCAGAGGAGGCTAAGCTAGAGCCTTGGGGGTGCTTTCATCCGAGGAGAGTTGAGATGACTTCTTACAGTCAATGGGCAGAGACGTTTTAATTTTAAGAGTCAGGTCTCAGAAAGAAGAGCAGTGAGAATGTTATGTGTGACAGATCCCTGTGGGGCTCCTTCCCTGAGCTCCTTGAAATTAGGGGTTCAGGATAGGAGTGACAGGAAGCCTAAACAAAGAGGGCAGTTGGGGTCAAGGTGGGGGCAGATCCACGAAGGCACCGAGGAGCAGACTCCTTCCGCACACGGTCTGCAGGTAGTCCCATCCAGCCACTATATCCACACTGAGCTGGCAGCAAGGCAGACTTGGAAGCTGAGACTTTTAAGTTTTTCAGACACTTTTAAGTTGACGTTTGGGAGGATCATACGTTTCCACTTATATTTCATTGGCCCAGATTTTATCATGTGGCCACTCCTAGTTGCAAGAGAGGCTGGGAAACGTAGTCTTTGTGTGGGATGGGAGGTGCTCAATTAAGAGTCGGGGGGTTTCTGTTATTGGGGAAGCAGACAGTGGGGAAGGAAGTTGGCATCTGTCATAGAAACTTTGTTTCTGAAGACTAAGGGCTTTGGAATCACCTATCCTGGGTTTAAACATCAACCCCGTGTACTAGCTGTGACATATTGGCCAAGTTACTTCATCTCTTTAATCTCTTCTACTTTAGCATCCATGGATTTGGCATGATGTTCACATCACAGGCGCAAAACGAAAGAATCAACACCCAGTATTTAGCACAACAGCCGTCACTGGCCCCCTGGTCCCTGTGTCAATGTCTTTGACTTCATTCATTTATTCAGATGTGTGGTATTGATTGTTGTTGTTCAGTCACTAAGTTGTATCTGACTCCTTGCCACCCCATGGACTACAGCACACAAGGATGCCCTGTCCTTCACCATCTTCCGGAGTTTGCTCAAACTCATGTCCATTGAATCAGTGATGCCATCCAACCATCTCATCCTCTGTCACCCTGTTCTCCTCATGCCCGCAATCTTTCCCAACATCAAGGTCTTTTCTAATGAGTCGGTTCTTCACATCAGGTGGCCAAACTATTGGAGCTTCAGTTTCAGCATCAGTTCTTCCAAAAAATATTCAGGGTTGCTTTCCTTTAGGATTGACTGGTTTGATCTCCTTGCTGTCCACAGGGATTCTCAAGAGTCTTCTCTAGCTCCACAGTTCAAAAGCATCATTTCTTCAGTGCTCAGCCTTCTTTATGGTCCAGCTCTCACATCCATACATGACTACTGGTATTGATTGTACATGTGTTTAACTCCTATTTCTTCCAGTCCTCACCAGGGATCTCATGAGTCTGGCTAGGACCAGTACAACTAGGATGTGATTAGCTGCGTGTGTTAGTCACTCAGTTGTTGTCTGATTCTTTGCGACCCCTTCGACTGTAGCCTGCCAGGCTCCTCTCTCTATGGGATTTCCCAGGCAGGAATACTGGAGTGGGTTGCCATTTCCTTCTCCAGGGGATCTTCCTGACCCAGGGATCGAACCTGGGTCTCCCTCATTGCGGGCAGATTCCTTACCATCTGAGCCACCAGGGGAGTCCCTGTTCAAAGAGGATAAAGCAACATGGTCCATGTTGGGGTGAGCTTTATGCTAAGTAAATGGCCTGGTGAACCTTGGGTGGGGTTAGAGGTGAAGTTACAGGAGTAGAAGCAGGAAGAGCTGAGGGTGAGACAGCCCAGAGTGGACACCCAGCTAAGGGGAAAGTTCAGGCCCTCCATGTCACCACTTGTCACCAGTAGGGGTGCTCAGGACACAGCTCTGAGCCCCCATCTTCTGGTGGTTGCTCAGTGATGAGGTGGGGGAGGTTTCTAGAGTTCAAGGGTCACTTCCTCTGTCTGCCAACACTGCCCTGGCAAGCTAAGAGCCAGCTGGGTTTACTGCGAGCCATTCCGAATGACATCTGTGCCAGGAATGGGGAACAAGCCAAACTCCTTCAAGAATATGAAGGTGGGTGCTGGCAAGGATGTTTTTATCTGGATTCATGCATCACTCCCAATTTCCTAGCAGACTTTCAGTTGGACACGTTCCCTGGTACTTTCTGGGAGTGGGCACCGTGTAGTCCCTGAAAACTGAATAAGATGGAGCCTCTGTCCTCGTGGGCTTCCCAGGTGGCCCCCTGGTAAAGAATCTGCCTGCCAGTGCAGGAGATGTGGGTTCGACCTTCCCCTGGGTTGGGAAGATCCCTTGAGGGAGGGCATGGCTACTCACTCCAGTGTTCTTGCCTGGAGAATCCCACGGACAGAGGAGCCTGACAGGCTACAGTCCAGAGGGTCGAAAGAGCTGGACACTAAGCCGCTGAGTATTATGTCCTCATCTGTCCCCACCCCTGGGATCCACAGGTGAGGTCCAAGGCCTGATGGCGCCCACTTCATTCCCTCCTGGGGCACCTCCTCCCTCTACAGGCGGGGGTGTTTACCTGCCCCACAGATGGCACGTCTGGCCACGTGTCTGGCTTTGGCCAAGGGAATGTGGGCCAACAAGAGTGAGCTAGTTCTGAGCAAGCAAGGCCTCGCGTGCTTTTGCCCACGTTGTTTATGTTTTGCCATCACATGAGAACATCACCTCCCAGAAAGTCACTGGTCCAAGGAGAGTGAGACATCCATGGAGCGGACTTGGGTCCCACCTGAAGCTCAGAGCTGAGCCTATCCCAGCCTAATCTAGGTCAGCCAACCTCGGTCTCACCCACAGTCCTGTGAGTGAGAACGGAAGACGGGTGTTCTGTGGCATTGGTTTGGGGGTGCCTGCCTAGCAGCGTTGTTGGGGCAGTGGCTAGTGATACAAGAGGCAACTGTGATAGAGCGTGAGAGGGACTGGGGGAGATGCGGATGGCCCGGGGGGAGGTGTGGGGGTCACATGGGGGGAGGTGCTGGGGGGCCGGAGGGAAGTACAGGGGGCATCTGATCCTCCAGCTTGGGGAGGTTGATGGGGAGGAATGCTTCGTGAACTTGTGTAAAATATTCAGTTTTTGGCCCTCATTTTGCTTTTTCCTCTGGGTTGCTCTAGACCACAGATTATATAGAATTCCTCAGGTTATGTCAGAATTGTATGTAAAATAAGAGTTAATCCATAAGGCCTATAGCAAAAGTTCTCTGATAAGTTAAATATGAGGGCCTTTTGACTTTGTGACTCATTCACTCATTCCCAACAGACAGGAATTAGGAAGCAGCTCTGAACAAAATGAATTAGAATCCCGAGCGAGCACCTGCAGCTTACATGCTGTTGAGAAGAGACATAGTTGATGACAAATGTCAAGAGAGCAGGAGAGCTGGAAAGGAAAGATGGAGTGTTGGGGCAGAGGTGGGTGCAATTATACGGGAAGGTCGGGAGGACCTCGTGAAGAGTGATGTTTGAGCCAAGACACTAGCAGTGGCCTTAGGTGAGGAAAGAACCTCTTGGGCCGAAGAGCAGGGAGTGCTAAGGCATGTTTCAGGAGATGGAGAGACTTAGGATACGAAACTCCTATTTCCAGCGAAAACTGCCAGAGAGGAAGAACAGATTCAAAAAATTTGAATTTTCTTTAAATTTAAAAAATTTAAATTAAAAAAAAAAAAATCTAGGCTAAAAGGTTTCTGTTGTCAGGTAAACGCTCCAGAAACCAGCCCAGGACCATCCTCATGGGGTCCTCTCTTTTGGTGTTGGTGGTGCCTGGTGACCCCCGCCCCGTCTGTCTCCTCCTCTAGGCTCTTCTGTGCAGGACTGGCAGTCTCCCCTCCCTGTGTCCTCCAGAAGCTTCTGGGAGCCATGTTCCTCTTGTCTGTATTGATAATGGGTGTGTCCCCCTTCGCCGTGCAGTCTGAGGAGCACACGGGTAAGTAGTGACTCTCAGCTGGAGGGGCTTGTCTGCAGCTTCTCTGGGGATGTTGTTGTTTAGTCATTAAACTGACTCTTTGAAACCCCATAGACTGTAGCCCACCAGGCTTCTCTGTCCATGGGTTTCCCAGGCAAGAATACTGGAGTGGGTTGCCATTTCCTTCTCCAGGGGATCTTCTTGACCCAGGGATCAAACCCATGTTTCCTGCATTGGCAGGTATATTCTTTACCACTGAGCCACCTGGGGATAGGAGTTGCTTATCTAGGGAGATTTTGTTGTTATCGAGAAGCAAGGTGTGACCATCTGTGCTTTGGTAGGAGACAAGAGTTTTCTCTTGCCAGTCTCCTCTGGTGGATGAGTTTGCTGTGGGCTTCAGTCATTCCTGCCAAAGGAACAAACCAAAGAGACCATGCTTTTGCCCTTGATAAAAGGTGCTTTTGGATTTTTACCATACAATGTGTTGGAACTAAGCTGAACTCAATCAATATCGACCTTGAATGACCAGGTGTCATCAAGTCAAAAATAAGATCAAACTTGAGACTTCTGGTGGTCCAGTAAGGTTAAGACCTTGCCTTCCAATGCAAGGGCTGTGCGTTTGGTCCCTGGTCAGGGAGCTAAAATCCCACATGCCCCGCAGCCAAAAATCCAAAACATAAAGCAAAGACAGTATTGTAATAAATTCAGTAAAGACTTTAGAACTGGTCCACATTAAAAAAAATATTCTTAAAAAAGACCAAAATTTGTTTGTTATCTTGTGAACCTAATTTAACTTTTCCCACAAAATGTGGATGGAACTTGTTAGCAGCCCTAATGTCGTTATCTGGGAGCTTTGAGAGCATTGTGAGCTCTCAGATTTGTTGGTGGGACCCCACATCGTCAGGGCATGTGGTGTCCCCGGAGAGACCCCAAAACCTGACCGTGGATTCTCTGTCCTTCAGTGGCTGCAGGAAGCTGCCGATTTCATGGCAGGCACCCCAAAACAAGGTTCAAGGTAGAAGGGGAGCCTTTGGTCTTGAGGTGCCCCCAGGTGCTCCACTGGGAGTCTACCAGCACCCATGTCAACGTGACGTGGCATAGAAATGACTCCGCCGTGGCGGTCCCAGGGGAAGAAGAGTCGCGCGTGTGGGTCCAAGACGGAGCTCTCTGGATCGTGCCAGCCTCCCAGGCAGACTCCGGCACCTACATCTGCACTGTCAGGTCAGCCCCTTGGGGACAAGAAGCGGGCAGGGGCGCTCTTCCACAGCGGATGCTTGCATGGCATTTATAACAGCCTGGCCGTCCAGATGCAGCCCACAGGTGGGAACCTACTTTATGTCTGCCTCACTGTTCCTGCAATGCCTCCTACCCGGGAGCCTGTCCCAGACATCCTCACGGTGCCCTGTCTCCCCTTACTGGGGTTTTTAAGTGTCACCTCTATGAAGAGGATGTCCCTGGTGACTTTGTCTAGAGCAGGACTCCTGTCCCTCTCTCTCCTGAACCTGAAGTTCTTTGTCTTCATCTGACATGCATGTACTGGTTTCATGTATTTAAGGATTCGTCTACTCCATTAGAACATACACTCCAGAGCTCAGGGACGTGGTTTATTTTGTTCGCTGCTGAATCCACAAGGACTTAGGGAATACACGCAGAACCCCAAGTCGAACTGGAGACCGGGGAGAGGCTTCAGGGAGAAGTTAACACAAATGCTTGTTGGGGCGGGGAAAGCCAGACCCATAAAGCTCTCCCGGGTGGCGGGTGTGGAGCTGAGGCTGGAAACCCACAGCTCCTGGCATGGGACTTAGTGCCCCCTTTTTTGTCCTGCTGCTTTTTTCCCTCTTTAATTGTGGTAACACAAGGATAATATAACATTTACCATTTTAACCTTTAAAAAAAATTTAATATTCAGCTGAATTTATTTTTGTTTGTTTTTAAATTTTAATTGGAGTGTAGTTGCTTTAGGGCTTCTCCGATGGCTCAGTGGGTAAAGAATCTGCGTGCAGTACCGGAGACACAAGAGATGCAGGTTCGATTCCTGGGTCGGGAAGATCCCCTGGAGGAGGAAATGGCAACCCACTCCAGTACTCTTGCCTGAAGAACCCCATGGACAGGGGAGCCTGGCAGGCTCTAGTTCAAAGGGTGGCGAAGAGTTGGCCACGACGGTAACCAGCGCAGAGAGTTGCTTTGCAGAGCTGTGTCCGTTCCTGCTGCCCAGCAGAGTGAATCAGCTGTGCCTACGCTGTACCCACTCCCTTCTGGATTCTCCCCGTGCAGTCCGCCGCAGAGCATTGGGTAGGTCCCTGGTGCTCTGCGGCGTGTTCCCGTCAACTGTCTATTTTATACATAGTATCAGCAGTCTATGTGTCCATTGCAGCCTTCCAGCTCTGTTTCTGTTAATATCACCATTTGGCCTCTGCCTTTTCCTCAGTTCCAGGGTCTTGATAGAATGATGATATTGAGATTATTGTTAGACCAACCAAAAAAAAAAAAAACCAAACAAACTTACCAAGTTCATTTCCCCCATGCAGTATTAAAAAAAAGACTTCACAGATCTTACCCAAAGATCTTAAGTTTCCTGATATTTGATTTCAGTTGGTACATGATTTCCAAGGGAAGTAAAGGGGATATTCTTCCTATGGAAACAGTGGCTCTTGGGAAACTGTCTCTCCATCTGGACAAGGTTTCCTGGACCGGGAATTTGGAGCATGTTGGGGCTGTGCTGAAGCACCCCCAGAACCTGGGAGGGTGTAGACCCCTTTGAAGAGGACTTGGAGTTTCTTGTGTACGTGTGCTAAGTCACTTCAGTTGTGTCCAACTCTTGGCAACCCCATGGACTATAGCCCACTGGGCTCCTCTGTCCACGGGATTCTCCAGGCAAGAATACTGGAGTGGGTTGCCATTTCCTTCTCCACTAGGAGACTCCACTAGGAATTTCTTCTTAGTGACCTCAGTGGCCTTGAAAGCAGGCTTGTGAAGGGTCCTTTGAGAAACATGCAGAATTCATCACCATTCCTATCTGACAATTATGACATGGTACTTTTTCTGCCCCCCAAAGGTTCAAAAGGACTAGGGACAGAAATGCTACAATACTAATGAGAAAAATACAGAATGAATTATTCACTGAGATTGGGGAAGTTATTCTTAATTTCATTTAGTTTTACTTTCATTTTGCCTTGCCATTTAGTTTTCTTTTCTCCCCTTTTAAATCAGAAATTCCTCTTACTGTGACAAAATGTCCGTCGAGCTCAGGGTTTTCGAGAAGACAGAAGCCTCTGTGCCGCTCATCTTCTACCCCCAAATTATACCCTTGTCAGCCTCTGGGCTACTTGTTTGTCCTGATCTGAGCGAATTCATCGACAACAAAGCTGACGTGAAGATTCAGTGGTACAAGGTACATCTGTGAAAATTGCCATTTAATGAATGCATGTTTGAAGAGCCATAGAAAAGATATAAAATGCCTATTCTGAAGGCAATATGTTCACTTTTCTATTTCTATTTTTTTAACCAGTGATTTTTAAAAGGGTCATGATTAGTATATTCTATACATCTTTATAAGGCTTGAGTAAGCATCCTCGGATAGTGATTTGAAAAGACAGGGTGAAATGAATGCAGAATAAATAAAAACTGAAGAAAGTAGCTTTTTACTCCATGCTGGGTCTATAGAAATTTAGAAAGAACTATTTAACAATTTTATATACGTGTTAATAGAGTTTTTATAAAAGCACATGAAAATTAACCTTTGGGTTAAAGGAGTAAATATTGGTGTAAACACAATTTCGTGTCTTTCTCAATAAACACTGTTGTCAGCTCCCTTGTGTAGACCAGGGGTGGGCAAAAGACAGCCGTGGTCCAGTGAGCTGCCCCTCCTTTGTTGTTTTTTAACTTTTTATTTTGCATTGGAGTATATTTAATTAACGATGTTGTGATAGTTGCAGGTGGGCAGCCAAGGGACTCAGCCATATGTGTACATCTATCCACTCTCCCCCAAACTCCCCGCCCACACAGGCCGCCACGTGACATCGAGCAGAGTTCCCTGCGCCATGCAGTCGGTCCTTGTTATTATCCATTTTAAATATTAGCTGCTACTCAGTTTTGGATGTTAACTATCCAGTTAAGGATAGTTTTCTTGTTTTTAAATGGTTTAAAAAATTAAAAGAAGACTAATATTTCATGACCTGTGAAAATGATATAAAACTCACATCTCAGTGTCTGTCAGTAATGTTTTACTGAGGCATGCTCGTTTGTTTCTCTTTTCATGGGGCAGCAGCAGCTGAGTCGAGTGGTTGGACAGAAGACATGTGGACCATAGGCCTAAAATATTTACTTTCTGGCTTTTTACAGAAAAAAAGTTTGCTGACCCCTGATATATACTGGGAATTGATACTAAAAAGTACAGTTACTTGTTTAAAAATGGATAGAAATGAACACTTTAGTAAAAAAAAAAAAATAGGTTGACCACCTGACAAGCATTCTAACTACAAAATAGTGTAGTATGTCAATTTAATATTGGAAACTTTTAAATGATTTTCAGAGAAAATATTGAGTTGGCCAAAAAGTCTGTTCAGTTTTTTTGTATAGGAATGCATGGCAAAAGCTGAACGACCTTTTTAGTGAACCCAGTAAGTAGCCAGCTCTTATGAATTAGTCCGCCCAGTAGAGGATCTCTTAAGAGATATCTTAGAAGTTTCATAAGAACATAAAAGCAAAAAGATCTCTTAGAGGTTTCGTAAGGGCATAAAAAGGTCAAGTGAGAGATTTACCATAGAGGAGAGAGCACAGGTTCTGGGGGGGTGACCAGTCTGCTATCTGGCCTGGGTCAGCTTTTTCCCTCTTTAACCTGTTTTCTCTGCAAGGCGGCACTTCATCCCTCCCACACCTGGGACTGTTTCCAGTTGAAATGGAGCACAGGGTGTGAAAGACCTTGGGCAGTGCTTGGTGTATAAATACGGGTGGACAGGGGCATCCTGGTAGCACTTAATGATATCAGTTCCTGTCCTAAGAGTGTTGACCGTCACTGAGCATGTACTGTGTCCAAGTCTGTTCTAAGCTCCCCGACACGAATCCATTGCAGTAGGGACTGTTAATATCTCCATTTTACGGATTAGGAAAGGGAGACACACAGATGTGAGCACCGTGCCCAAGGTCACTCAGCTGGCAGACGGTGAAGTCAGACCTCTGACCGTGGAGGCCGGAACGCGCACATCCCTGCCACACGGGCAACCCTGGAGACTTGCAGACCCTGGAAGAACCATGTGGCTCTGCCCTGTTTTAACTTTTTAAACCTAATCAACACAATAGAGACTGTTCACATTTGAAGTACACTAATCAGGGACCCACACTCTGTGTGTGTGGGAGTCGCTCAGTCATGTCCAACTCTTTGGGACCCCATGGACTGTAGCCCGCCAGGCTCCTCTGTCCATGGGATTCTCCAGACAAGATTACTGGAATGGGCTGCCAGTTCCTCCTCCAGGGGATCTTCCTGACCCAGGGATCAAACCCGGGACTCCCACATTGCAGGCAGGTTCTTTACCATCTCAGCCCTGTAGGATTTGTTCACATTTGATCACATGTGTTGGGAATGATGAAATCTCTGTTTTTAATTAAGTATATTGTTCAATTAGACTTAATGAGTCATGTGGCTGACAAACTCTTCCAGTTATGCCCATGTTCTCCTTCAGATAAGTCTGTGAAATGACTCAGGGTTATATTAGATGATTGCAGTCGTCCTGGTTTTGAAAGAGATGTTCCTGAGAACATTTTGTGCTCATGAGGTGTTTCTTCTGCTCTGCCCTGCAGTACCTTTGTCCATATGAGAAGTGCGGGTTCATGTCTCAAACTCGGTTTTCTCTTACAAAATTTTCTTCATCTCTCCTGACTCTTTAACTTGAAATGATTCTTAACATGACGACTGCAACATCAACTCTTGCGGGCATTCACCATGACTACATCATAGCACTCCTCTCTGGATGTTCCCCAGGGCCTATAGGCAGCAGTTACGCCATAAATATATTTATATTTTAATGGCCTACTTTGTCAAAGAAGATAGTTTCTTTTTTTCCCGTTTTGCCAAAGCAAATGTGCTTTAAACCTTGTAGTTAAACAGACCCAGCCATTTATTACAAACTTTTTATTTTGCATTGGGGTATAGCCAATTCACAATGTTGTGATAGTTTCAGGTGAAGCGAAGGGACTCAGCCATACATAACATGTATCCATTCTCCTCCAAACTCCCCTCCCATCCAGGTTGTCACATGACATTGAGCAGAGTTCCTTGTGTTATATAGTAGGTCCTTGTTGGTTATCCATTTTAAATTTATCTGTGTGCACATGTCCAGCCCAAACTCCCTAACTATCCTTCCCCCCATCCTTCCCCCCAGCAACTATAAGTTTGTTTTCTAGGTCTGTGAGTCTATATCTTTTTTGAAATAAGTTCATTTGTATCATTTCTTTTTAGAATCCCCATATAACCAATGTCATATGGTATTTCTCCTCTGTCTGACTTACTTCACTCAGTGTGACAATCTCTAGCCCCATCCATGTTGCTGCAAGTGGCATTATTTCATTCTTTTCAATCTAGCCATTTTATTTCATATGCTAACAAACTCCCTCTCTTAAAAATACAGTTAAAAAAGCATGTCCCAAAGGACAATATTTGCAAAGTAAATACCAAGGTGATTCTTGGGTTGCAAATTCAATAGTGATGCATGATACTGATGCTGTTCATAGCTTTTGAGGTATCAATTAGAATATAGTTTAACGTTTTAGAAAACTTTTAATTTTGTATTGGGATATAGCCGATGAGCAATGCTGTGCTAGCTTCAGGTGGACAATGAAGGGATTCAGCCACACGTATACAGGCATACAGTGTAACTTTGAAAAACGTTTTCCCTTAAGGATTCTGCCCCTTTGGATCAAGACAAGAAGTTTCTCAGTGTGAGGGGAACTCGCTTACTCGTAAACAATGTGTCCATGGAGGACGCGGGCTACTATACCTGTGCCATGACGTTTGCCCACAGAGGCAGGCAATACAACATCACCAGGAATATCAAACTCCAAGTCAAGAGTGAGTACTTGCATGGCTAATTCATTTCAATGTATGATAAAAACCACTGCAATGATGTAGAGTGATTAGCCTCCAACTAATAAAAATAAATGGAAAAGAAAAAAAAAAAAAAGAGAACAGAAAAAGAAAAAAAAAAGTAAGTACTTGCCATCAGGAAACCTCTGTACCCTGGTTCAGCAACAAGCATGCAAGGGAAAAATTAGGGCTCACATAGAACTCTTTTTTTCCCCAGGTTGTTATCTCTTGATTGAATTTTTTAAAATTTTAATTGAGGGAAAATTGCTTTACAATATTGGTTTAATGTCATGTAGAATTCTTTGAGTGTCTTTGGTATGAGAGGAAAACAGATATGGCACATCTCTCAGCACCAGGCTTGTGAGACCTGTGTGACTCCTGGAAGGATAGAAAGCTGGGTGATTTTATGAACAGTGAATCCCTGGGTAGTCGACAGGGTTCTAAGTCTGAAGTTAAGATATCCACCACTAGAGGGAGCCAAACAGTAGTTCACTTGGAAGGTCCCTCTGCAAGGTCCGTTTGGAAGACTTGCCCATCGAGGGCCAGTCATCAGAACACAGTTGCCGTAACTTTGCGTCTAATTCTAGGATGTGCATGCGTGCTCAGTTGGTGGGTCGTGTCCGACTCTTTGTGATCTCATGGATTGTGGCCCACCATGCTCCTCTGTCCATGGGATTTCCCAAGCAAGAACACTGGAGTGGGCTGCCCTTTCCTTCTCCTAATTCTAGGATACTGGGATTTTTTGGAGTTTTCAATGAGAAGTCTACACATTGGCATAGCTGGTGAAAAATCTCTCTCTTTTTTGATCTTCCCCAAGCGTGTCTAGCCTGAAGGTTCAGATGGTAAACAATCTTCCTGCAGTCCAGGAGACCCAGGTTCAATCCCCGGGTTGTGGAAATCCCCTGGATTTGGAAATGGCAAGCCACTCCAGTATTCTTGCCTGGAGAACTCCATGGACAGAGGAGCCTGGTGGGCTACAGCCCAGGGTGTCGCAAAGAGTCGGGCACGACTGAGAAAACTGAGTGACTAACACACAAGCGTGTCTCGTGGCTCTTGAAACCAGAATTTGAAACAGCAAGGGCTCTCATGGGTTTAAATGAGTTCTACCTGAAAATAATGTGTGAACGGTACCAATTAGCATGTCAAGCTTGTTCATTGTTTCTTCCACGCCTCCTATGTGCTGAGCATCAAGCTTGGTGCACGAGGCATACAAGTGGTGAAGTCCTGGCCCTTTTCTGGACAGTATCGTGCGTCTCTTAATTTTATACACTGAATAACTACCCAATCAGGGTCTTTTAAAGGCTTCCCAGGTGGCACGTGAGATGCGCGTGATGCATGCAGGAGATGCGCGTGATGAGGGTTAGATCCCTGGGTCAGGAAGATCCCTTGGAGGAGGGACTGGCAACTTATTACAGTATTCTTGCCTGGAGAATCCCATCGACAGAGGAGCCTGGCGGACTACAGTCCATGGGGTTGCAAAGACTTGGGCATGACTGAGCAAGTGAGTGCGCACGCGTGCGCACACACACACACACACACACACACACACACAATTTCAGAGAGCTTTGAAACTATGTCCAGGTATATAATTAGTCTACGAAGGGAAAAGACTTTCTTCTCCCAGAGAATACTGAGATTCAGTCTTATTACAGGGAAAATAGAATCTTCCATGAATGGAAATCTCTGTGTCTGGTGAGGATTCAATCACATCAGCCCCTTGCTCCCCCGCAGAGGGCATCCCCTAGAATCCCGCCCCCCTCCACCATTATCCTGTTCATGTGATACTGCACAGGAACACGAGGGGGCGCCAACCTACCTATTATCCTGTGTCCCGACCACACTCTGTCTCAGCTGTTTTCAAGGGTGGTCCTCTGCCAGCTGCAGCATCACTTGGGTACTCATCAGACACGCAGACTCTCAGGCCTCCTCCCAGACTTACTGAATAAAAAACAATTTGCAGCCCATGTTTAATAAGCTCCCAGGTGATCCCGACATGCCCTGGAGTTTCAACCCATGGATGTATCTCGTCCCTGGGGCATCTTTTCCCCTTCTCTGCCTCCCTGAAGCAGCCCTGTGATCTTGAAGGGAGGTGCAGGCTCCTGGTCATGATCACGGTCACAGTGGAGAAGCCGGCTGCTCTCTGGGCTCACCTGGGATGCTGCCTAAAGCTTATCCCATTAGGGTTTCCGATGCTCTTTAGTGGAAGACATGAGGAAGGAGCTGTGGTGGACATGGGCAGCCCTTCATCCACCCTTCACTGTCCTTTCTGCCCCAGTTCAGATGCCCAGTTTCTTCAAGCTGCTGGGAGAACTGCCTCTTGGGGAGCTGGGCTCTGATTCCTCCACAGAGAGTCAGTTTCCTCAATTACAAGCCCAGGTGGCCAAGCTGGGTTACCCTGTTTCTCTCTCAGTGTGGGCTTAGCAGGCTTCCCAGGTGGCCATTCCCAGTGGCACCTGCCTGCCAATGCAGGAGTCGCAGGTTCGACCCCAGGGTCGGGAAGGTCCCCTGGAGGAGGGCATGGCAACCCACTCCAGGATTCTTGCCTGGAAAATTCCACGGACAGAGGAGCCTGGCACGCTACAGTCCATAGAGTTGCGCAGAGTCTGACACAACCGAAGCGACTTAGCTTCACACACATGGGGTTAGCATCACAAACAGGTGCTTCTGGATGTCCTGTGCCTTCTTTATTTTTCAGAAGTGACTCCAGGATTCTATTGCAGGTGTGGAGGGGGCTACTTTAGGGTGAGGAGCCTTTGGAATAACACCCGTCCGTGGACTTGGAGAACATTCCTGCTGAGGGTTCATTCAGGAAGCCGGGGAGTGGAATGGTTAATTGTTATCGCAGAGCATAGAACATCTGCGAGAGGAATGTGCGTATAACTGCGGCTTCTTCCAGTAATCTCTCTTCTGGGAAAAGCATTGGCCAAAGAGCCTCAATTTCGTGGCTAGCCAGTTTCCTTTGCCAGACAAAAGCTGAGTCTCACAATGTCTGGCTCTGCTGCAAAAGAGAATTTAGCTAATTAGTTAAACAATAGATCCTGACCCTCAGCTCGCAATGAAGCGCTTCCTCATTGAATCTCCTTTCCTTCTGTCTTTCTCAGAAAGAGATGAGGAGACCATTCCTGTGATCATCTCTCCCCACCAGACCATCTCAGCCTCGCTGGGTAAGGACCGTGTGACCCATGGGGGTGGCTGCAATCCCAAACCTGGGGCCCCAGGACCCCTGCAGGTCTCTGGTGGAGACTCTCCCTGCAAGAAATGACAATGTTGTTACCCCATCGAGAGTTAACAAGTGTGAGGGAAAATTTCTCTTTGAATGGCATTGTTGGGAAGCATGCATATTTTACTTCTTGAAAACTCTACCTACAAAAAAACTCTATGCAAAAAATCAAAACATTCCAGTGACCATTGTTAACTACATGAAAGGAAGAATGGATGGCATGATGTCCCAGGCAGCACCTGAGGTATATTTAAAATAGTAATAATTCACTTCACCAACATGTGGCTAATGCTAGCATTACGCCCAAGGCTCAGACTGCCCCGCCGGCTCCCGGGAGACAGTTCCTTGTTCCTTGTCAGTGGGTCAAGGGAGGTAATGCTTGTCAGAGGTTTTCGTTTTTCACCCTTTCACTGTTCCAGCCAGCACACACTTTCTTATCAAACACTGTTAAGTCTAATAAGATGTCTTTCAATGCCAACCTCAACCCTGTGGAATGGTCTTATTTCTCCCATTTTCCAAAAGAAAAGATGCCTGGGTTGAGGGTGGTGGGGGTCATTGGCTCAGTGTCTGTCAAAAAGTCACAGCTGAGTCTGGTTGGGGTTCAGACCCAGGTCTGTGTGTCTGTGAAGCCTGCACCTTTTGTGTCTGTTTGTTTTTATATAATCGTTTTTTAGGTCTTATGCTCATTATTAAACCCTGGCTGCAGAGTTCTGTCTATCTGTCTATCCATCTATCAATCACATGTCTATCGATCCATCAATCATTTATCTATCCATCCATCCATCTGTCTGTCTACGTACCTATCCCTTCTGTTTGGTCTTAGGCTTGTATTTTAAGGGCTTTCCAGGTGGCTCAGATGGTAAACAATCTACCTGCAATGCAGGAGACCTGGGTTTGATCCCTGGGTTTGGAAGATGCCCTGGAGAAGGGAATACCCACTCCAGTGTTCTTGAGGCTTCCTTGGTGGCTGAAATGGTATTCTCCAGTGTTCTTGCCTAGAGAAGCCCATGGATGGAAGAGCCTGGTGGGCTACAGTCTGTGGGGTTGCAGAGTCGGACACGACTGAGCAACTAGCCCTTATATTTTAAACTCTAATTGGTGACCATGGAGCCTAGGGGGCTCTCGCAGATGCTGGGGTTGTGGCCTGACACCTGAGTTGCAGCTCCCGAGGCTATCTTGGCTCTCAGAAGACCCTTCTGGAAGCCTGGGGAGGTGGGGACCCAGGTCAGTGCTGACCCTGGCTCCTCCATGTTCCCCAGCCCACAAAACTGCACCTCCCACCCTGTTGCTTTGCACGCATGGATGTGCCTGGCAGAGTCACTTGTGGCCAGATTGAATGGGCTGCTGCTGCCTGAGAAATCTTTTAAGGTCAGAGGGGTGTGCAGGAAGAACAAGAGCAGGCTTTCTGAGCCTGAAGTGGGGCCAAGGGGGTTAAAGGCCAGGCCCCAGGGAGGCCCGTCACACGTGAGGAAGACACGCATGTGAAGGATTTCTTCTTTTGTTCCCCACTTTGGTGACTAAAAAGACTTACAGTGATTGAGGCAAGGGACTCAGGACTATCACATCACACAACTGTAGAAGGTACCCTTCACCCTTCATGTAAAACACAGTGGCTTTTTCTTTTGAAAGAAGTTTATATTTTGTATTGGGGTATAGTCAGTTAACAATGTTGTGATGGTTTCAGGTGGACAGCCAAGGGACTCAGCCATACATACATGTGTATCCATTCTCCCCCAAACTCCCCTCCCATACAGGCTGCCACGTGACGCTGAGCAGAGTTCCCTGTGCTATAGAGTAGGTACTTATTGGATCCATTTTAAATATCACAATGTGAACATGTCCATCCCAAACTCCTTAACTATCCCTTCACCCCGTTCTTCCCTGCAGGCAACTGTAAGTTCAGTCTCTAAGTCTGTGAGCCTGTTTGTGTTCTGTAAGTTCATTTGCATCATTTCTTTTTAGATTCCACATATGTAAGTGTTAGTCGCTCAGTCATGCCCAACTCTTTGTGGCCCCGTGGACTGTAGCCCACCAGGCTCCTCTGTCTATGAGATGTTTCAGGCAAGGATACTGGAGTGGGTTGCCATTTCCTCTTCCAGGGGATCTTCCCAAACCAGGGATCGAACCCGGGTCTCCTGCACTACAGGGAGATTCTTTATCAACTGAGCTACAAGGAAAGCCCACATATAAGGGATGTCATATAATATTTCCCCTTCTCTGTCTGACTTACTTTACTCAGCATGACAATTTCTAGCTCTCTTCATGTTGCTGCAAATGGCATTATTTTGTTCTTTTATACGGCTTAGTAATATTCCATTGTATATATGTGCCGCATCTTCTTTGGGCTTGCCTGGTGGCTTGGATGGTAAAGAGTCTGCCTGCAATGCAGATTCAATCCCTGGGTCAGGAAGATTACCCTGGAGAAGGGAATGGAAACCCACTCTAGTATTCTTGCCTAGAGAGTCCCGTGAACAGAGGAGCCTGGTGAACTACAGTCCATAGGGTCGCAAAGAGTCAGACACGACTGAGCGACTAACACACATATACACACACATACACAATATTCCATTGTATATATGCACCACATCTTCTTTATCCATTCCTCTGTGGACATTTAGGTTGCTCCCATGTCCTAGCTATTGTAAATAATGCTGCAGTGAACACTGAGGTGCTTGTATCCTTTTGGACCATGAATGTAAAACATAGTGACTTTTGAAAGGGTTAATCCTAAATTAACATGACCTGGGTGGAGAGCTCCCTGGGCAAACAGGAGAGCCGAGGCCAGCAGTGGGCAAAGAGAATCCACACACACATCCGGATTTTTGGAGGCAGCGAGAATGAATTGTGGAGGAAGGTGGCCTGGGACTTCAGAATGCTCTGTAGGAGCCCAGTGGCCTTGGGAAGCTGTTTGCCTTTGACTTTCCATCTGCCATGAGGAAGGAGTTAGAGATGCTTAGTAAATACCGACACTCGAGGTGAAAGCTTAAGGGAACTAAGATTCCTTCTAAGAAAAAACAATAGTGTGGTGAGGTTGTCTGAGAAGAAGTGGAGAGGCCCACTGCTCAGATCCCTTGACCTGACCCCTGTCCGCCAGCTGGGTTCTGGCGTCTGACGCACTATGTCTTGCTGTTACAGGGTCAAGACTGACAATCCCGTGTAAGGTGTTTCTGGGAGCCGGCATACACACAACCACTCTGCTGTGGTGGATGGCCAACAACACCCTCATAGAGGATGCCTACCGCGGGGGCCGTGTGACCGAGGGGGAGCGCCAGTAAGTGATGGGGGGGATCTTCCTTGTCCCCCAGGCAGGGCTGTTGTGACCCTCCGCAGGTCTCATACAGACAGTGTCCTAGCCAACCCATCCTATATGACGCACACACACGTACCACAGTATAAACCTATGTATATCTTTTTATTCTAATCCGTTGGATTTTTAGCATCTTCGACATTGAGTTTTGCTAAGAATCATCAACTGCTCTTGAGAATCAAGGCTTGTAATGCTATGAGTTGAGTAGCAGCCTAATACTTGGTTGGTGTTGCCTCTTCTAGTTGTTTAATTAAACCTTTTTCTCTCCAGTGTTAAAGTTTTCAAACAAATACTTTGAGCTAAGATGTGTCCATTTCTGACTTTGCAACCTGAGAATCCCAACATTTTCACAGCCCTTAAAGAGACCTTGAGATATAGTGCAGGATCTGAGCCCCGCCTATTTCTCAGGAAGCCGAGGGCTACCACAGTCTCTAAGGAAGGATGCCATGAAAGAAAGCAAGAATTCTGTTCTCAAAAGCCTTCATCTCTTTAAAATGTTTTCTCACTCTGAATGCAGAACAGTCAGGCCTTACAAAAATGGGAACCATTTTTGTGTGAGGAAGGCAGACCCTTCCATGTTCCAAATTATAAAGGATTTTTAAAATTGTAGTGTCGGTACTCTGAATTTGCCTGAATTTTTGCTTGCCAAATTCTTGTCTTTTTGGAAAGATCTATCCAACAAGAACTTTCTGGATGCAGTTTAGTGGATAGAAATTAGGCATGGTTAGCACAGCCCTTTGCTTGTGGATCCTCGTTGCAAGAAGTTTGGGCAGAATTCACATGCCACATGTCAGCTTGCTCATACTATCCGTTTACTTAAAGGAGCCTATTTTTTCCCCTGTAGATGAAAAAAAATAGTCACAGTGGATCCACAGCCACGATATTTTTATTCGTACTATTAAGTAATGTGAAGCATCTTTGGATTCCTGGAACATTACAAGTGGCAGTGATGTTGACTAGAGCCCTCCCCCGCGTCGGCCGCCCTTGGTTCTGAACTTGAACTTCCAGAGTGAGAGCTGGCAGTGAATGCTGATGACAGCAGACACCGAGGAGGATGGGATTCCTGGAAACTCCCTCCCTCCCTTCAATATGCAAATGATTTGTTGCTCATACAGTCCAATTTCCCCAGACTAGACATTTCTGTTCCCACCAATGGTTCACTGTTCATCAAGAGCCTTAAAAAGTGACCCCCCCCGCCGCCCCCACCTGTTTATCCAAAGAAGCTGGCTTCTGTAAATTCTCATTGTCACAAGCATCCTATATCACAGTGACCAGCATCTTAAGAGTTAGTCTCACCTTCAGGAATAGGCTTAGAAATTCTCCCCAATAAATAACAACTGTAATGGCAAGTGGCCCTCACTTGGTAAACCGTGCCATCAGTTTGAGTACGGCGGAGCTCTGAGAGTGTGTAGGTGTCTGTACTGAAAAGACAAGCGGGCGTTTGACAGTGGGTGTTGAGCTCACTCTTTTCTTACTCAGGGCATACTCAGAAAACAATGAGAACTACATTGAAGTGCCACTGATTTTTGATCCCGTCAGAAGAGAGGATTTGCACACGGATTTTAAATGTGTTGTCCGTAATACGATGAGTTTCCAGACGCTTCGTACCACAGTCAAAGAAGGTATGGATTTTGGCGGGGTGGGTTGTGAAAGGGAAAGACAAGTGCTGGGTGCTCTGTGGATGTGAAACAAAGGTCCTGATTCAGCAGGTGGTTACTTAGTGAGTCTGTGAGTTTTCTGTTAGTGGAGCTCAGAAAACACATCTCTTCGTTTTTGTGAATGTTTTTGGTAGGCTGGAGGCTGGCTTTGGGAGATTATACTCAAAGGGAGATTTAAAGAGGAAGCTGATTTTTTGGAAAAAAGACAAAATGGTTCTATGATAGATTTTAAAACAAAACCAAACCAAACCCTGTGTCTCCTGTGGTTCTGCTGGATCAGCAGGGCCAGTGTGCTTCCCTGGGCCCTCGAGGCGGGTGGGAGGGTTTTCATCCTGAGGCTGAGAAACTTCATCCTCCCAGGGCTGGGAATTGGGAGGTACCCAAAGCTTAGGTGTCTTTAGGGTTCAAGCCATCAGTCACCAGGAGATAGGGCTTCTCTGGTCGCTCAGTGGTAAGAAGCTGCCTGTGATGCAGGAGAAACGGGTTTGATCCTTGGGTTGGGCAGATCCCCTGGAGAAGGGAATGGCAACCCACTCCAGTATTCTTGCCTGGAAAATGCCATGCAAGGAGGAGCCTGTCGGGCTATAGTCCCTGGGGTCACAAGGAATCAGACACAACTGAGCAACCAAATAATAGCAACATCAGGAAATAAAGTGCAAGGCTGTAGCTGGATCAACTCACTGCTCAGGGAGGAACATTGAAACAAGGAGAAAACAAAAACCTGATTTATCCTTTTGACGTGGCTCAGCTGGTAAAGAATCCTCCTGGAGTGTGGGAGAGCTGGGTTTGATCCCTGGGTTGGAAAGATCCCCTGGAGAAGGGAAAGGCTACCCACTCCAGTATTCTGGCCTGGAGAATTCCATGGGCTCTATAGTCCGTGGGGTTGCAAAGAGTCGACACGACTGAGCAACTCTCAAAATAAAAAAAATCATTTTGACAGATCGATTTCTTCTCAGTGTTTGAGTGCTGGGCAGGCAAGGGGGGGTGTGAGTGATGTAGTCTGTCAACTGCTCGGAGGACAAGAAGGGAAGGGACAAAGTGATTCCCATGGGGACCTTACCCTGACTTCTGGGCCTCAGCACGATCAGTAAACACAGCTGCCCATGTTTGGGTATTTGCAGAGGAGGCAGCTGCAGACAAGTGTGTTTTTTTTTCAAGTTGAGAGTTATTTCTGGAGGGCACCCAGGAAGAACAATACCTATGGTCCGGGCCCCCACTAGGCTGCACCCACTTCCTACAGTGACCACGGAGGAGCTGGGGGTGGGCGGGGGGAGGCTGTGAAAAACCACGAGATACTGGCCCCAGAAAGCTGAGATGTATAGGAAAGGATCAATTTTAGTTAGCCCAGACTCTTGCATCTTCCCATACATAGAAAAGTGCTAAATTCCTTAACTCGAAACATCAGGCAAGCTTTTAGCGGAAAGCTGAGGATCTGGATAAGTCTCAGGGCAGGAATGACCACACAATACAACTTCTCTGCAACTGTGATCTGTACACACCACCATCCCGCACTTGAGCCACTGGTTGACAATGCAGATTCCTGGGTCACCCCCAGACCTACCCAGTGAAATTCTCTGGGGGGCGGGGGGAGGCCGAAGACTGACACTTAGCAAGCTCCGTTCATGATGTATTTTGAGAACCATTGTCGGAGCACAGAAGCAAGGCTGACGTCTCAGATCATTTCTCCGTGACGGAGCTGGTGGTGGTGCAGACTTAGAAATGGAGGATCCACTGCCAGGCTGCAAAGCAGTAACCCAGAGGAGGCCGTGGCGTGTCTGGTCCTGAGGCTGGGAACCTGCTCACATTTCTAGGACGTGAGCCCTGACCTTGCATGTCCTTCGCTGGGTTGGCTGTGGCTGATCACAGAGCTCACAGCTGAAAGATTTCACCTGGGCTCAGAGGTGCCTCCCAATAGTTGCTCCAAAAATGAAAACTTCACTTGGTTTGTGGAATTTTAAGATGCAAGAATCATCTGGAGAAGTTGCCTGAGATTGTGTTTTTTTCCCCCAAATCTGCACAGAATAGGGTAAATAGTAGCTTAGAAATGTAGAATTCTGGCCTCCTCGTCCATGTGTGATCAATAATCAGAGCCTCTTTTGTGATTATCACAAGTAATACACTTGTTAACCTTTTCATCAGTTTTTATTGGAGCGTAGCTGCTTTACAATGTATGAATTTCTGCTCACAGCAAAGTGAATCAGCTCTATGTTTGCATTTATCTCCTCTTCTTTGGATTTTCTTCCCGTTTAGGTAACTATGGAACACTGAGGTTCCTGTGCCATACAGTAGATTCTCATCAATCACCTATTTTACACACAGTATCACTAGTGTATATATGTCAGTCCCAACTTCCCAGTTCATCCCCCACCCCTACTGTTACCTCTCGGTATCCGTTCGTTTGTTCTCTGCATCTGAACTACACCCTCTCTAATTCCATCTTCACTCTTTTTTTATGCATTTATATTTATTTTATTGAGATATTATTCACATACCATAACAGTCACCATTTTAAAGTGTTAAAATATACTTGTTGGCTTTCTAAAATTTATTTGTCATTATATTTTCGAGTACAGTTGGTTTACGATGTGTTGGTTTCAGGTGCAGAGCTAAGTGGTTCAGTTATCCATTGTTTTTTGGATTCTTTTCCCATATAGATTATTAGAGTATTGAGTAGAGTTCCCTGTGCTATACGGTATGTCCTTGTTAGTTATCTATTTTATACAGTGTATATATGCCAGTTCCAACCTCCCAATTTATCCCTCTCCTGCACCACTTGGTAACTTTTAATCAACACTTGTTTCCTATATTTTCGTAACACAGAGCTGCAAAGGAGCAGAACTTAAAATAACTGGATCCCGGCAATGATTTTGACACCTAAAGCTCCTTTATTCCAAATTTTTCTTTTCCTTTGTTACTTTACTGACTCCTCCTGACACCAAGGCTCCCTGGAAAAGGACATATTATACCATGGCCACATCACAGTTGGCCAGCAAATACCTTGATAGACACCTTATTGCATCCAGTCCAGCAGGTGGAACAAAGTTAGACCTTGACACATGCCCCGCCCCACCGCCAAAATCTACACTGCTTCTCTCTGATGGATATTTGTTCTACTTGACTTTGTTGTTGTTGTTATTTATTTCTTTACCCATTGTGGAGCACATGGGATCTTCCCCAACCAGGGATCAAACCCGTGCCCCCTACACTGGAAGCTTGGAGTCTTAACCACTGGTTGTTCAGTCACTAAGTCATGTCTGACTCTTTGTGACCTCATGGACTGCAGCACACCAGGCTTCCCTGTCCTCTACCATCTCCCAGAGTTTGCACAAATTCATGTCCATTGAATCGGTGATGCCATCCAACCATCTCATCGTCTGCCATCCCCTTCTCCTCTTGCCTTCAGTCTCTCCCAGCTTCTGGGGCTTTTCTAGTGAACCACTGGACTGCCAGTAGATTCCTGTTTTACCCTCCTTGTTTCCATAATGCCACCAATATCATTCTCAGGTACCCTTGATCCGGGCGTAGGGGACATGCTTTCTGAAGACCAGTGCATACATGTTAGAAGAAACGAACGCCGTTTCCTTCCCTGTAGAGTGCATGGCAGTGTCCTATTTGGCCACAGGAGCTTGTTCACCTCTCATGTGTCTCTGTTCTTCCTACAGCCACCACGTTCTCCTGGGAGATCATGCTTGCCCCCCTGTTCCTCATCGTCTTGGTCCTGGGGGGCATATGGATGCACAGACGGTATAAATGCAGAACTGGAAAAGACTATGGTTTGATGGAGTTAAAGACTGGCCATCCAGACTCGCAATCCTATCCGAGTAAAATAAAGGAAATAAAATAGTTCACATCAAGCCAAGTCCTTTCCAAGGGAAGCAGCTCAGCTTTGTGAAGGATGCTCTTCTTGTCTCGGTTGTTTACCAAAGCTACTGTGTTTATAGTTTGTTTGTAGTGAGAGACTGAAATGTCCACATAATGTTTATTGTGAAACCAGATCACGGGAACCAGTGTGCATGTGGGTGGGTAGAGGCGCCCTTTGAATAAGAGTTGAAAACATCGAAATGAGTTTTGAAATTCATTTATTCATTCCATAAAAATGTGTTAAAAGTTCTATGTTGGCTGTGCTCTGTGGCAGATATTCTAGATACAAAAATAGTGAAGGCATGGTTTTCCTTTTGGAAAGGTGGAATTTTATCTCAAAACTGGAAAGGATGATTTAGAAATACTAAAGAGGGAGAATCCTCAAGAATTGGTAAATGCTTTTTAAAAGGATGATCCAGAAAATGGTAGTGTCAAATAGATGGTCTGAAAAATACATAACGTACTAGTGAATGGAGAAATGGATTCAGCTTTCATAATTAAACTTCTGAAAATAAAAAGAAAGGAAGAGTGTTGAGATGATTGCATACACATTGTGGGGAAAAAAAATCACAGCCTCTTTTATATAATATACCAAAAATAAATTCCTGCTAAGTTAATGAGTTAAATTTAAAAATCAAGTTGCAGGAAAATTGGCATGACTCACTCCTTCACCTATTCAAGTCTTGGTTCAAATGTGATCTTCCCACAGGCCCTTATAAGAGACCCTCTCTTTCCATCCCTCTCTGTCCCCCCCCCCCGACTATGCTTTGTGTCATTTTAGCTCTTACCCCCACCAGACCTTCCATTATGTATTTGCTTGTTTATTTTCTGTCTGTTTTCCGCATCAGCATGGGAGCTGCTTGAGGGCAGAGATGTTATTTTGAGCACAACTATATATTCCCTGTACCTAAAATGAAGCCTGCTGTTTCCTGGGCATTTAATAATTATTTGTAGAATAGAAGAAAATAGGATGAATTCTCTTTATAGCAATAAAAGAACCACCAGAGTAAAGATGGGCAGGATTCATTATGTTACAATTTCTGCATAATAGAATAATAAAAGCAAAATGTCAAAGAAATTGCGTCAAGCAAGATCAAGGCATTAATAACTATAATCTGCAGAGTGATTCAGGGTTCTAAGAAAGGTGTCAGAACTGAACAGATGAAGGAACATGAGTGAAGAATTGCAGAAGAGACATGCACCAGGGAACCGTGGTCTCAGTAATAACCAGAGATGAATTAAATCAGCGCTCACACACTTTTGTTGTTATTCAGTTGTTAAGTCCTGTTTGACTCTTTGTGACCCCACGGACTGCAGCATGCCAGGCTTCCCTGTCCTTCACCATCTCCTGGAGTTTGCTCCAATTCATGTCCATTGAGTTGGTGATGCCATCCAGTCATCTCATCCTCTGCTATCCAGTGTTAAAAGGTGATACCAAGATCACTACAAAACAGTCACACTCACACCCTGTGATGCCATGCAAACATTGGCACTGGGAGGTGGCAAGGAGTACATGACGCCAGTGGGGTGCTGGGACCAGCGTCCAGTCCTGTGCGTGTGGGCGCAGTCACGTCCGACTCTCTGCGACCCCATGGACTGTAGCCTTCCAGGCTCCTCCACCTGTGGACTTCTCCAGGCAAGAACACTGGAGTGGGTTGCCATTTCCTACCCCAGGGGATCTTCCTGACCCAGGGATTGAAACAGAGTCTCCCGCATCTCCTGTTGGCAGGCAGGTTTTTACCACTGTGCCACCTGGGACTGGCTTGCAAAAGAGCCAGCTACTGTGTTCAGTGGTGTCATACTGTAGCTTAAAACCAACTCTGGTGGGAGAATTTACATCACAGAAAGTGGCAAATGCCACAAGCCTCCCCTCTGCGGTACTCCACCATGAGGACCATAGATATGCCCAGTACTGCTATTCCTGGGAACTTAGGACCTGATTTAATAAAATAGACAGGAGATAACATTCAGTGAAACTTACCACCCTGATGATGAAACGTTATGCCTCAGTTATAAGTGATAATTATCAAGGTTCTGAGACCAGGATATTTATAGTATTAAGGGAAGTTTGTAGGCAAAACAGTAATTGTCTTATACAATTGGACTGCACCCCGCAGGTCTGCAAGCCTTGTAATTGCTCAGCCTGGAGACCCAAGCAAGCTTGGAAACAGTGGCAGAGACATGAGTGGCTTGTTGGATGGGGCCAAGTGTCCTGGAACCACAGCTCACTGTGGCTGGCTAGCAGCACAGGGTGGCACTTCACTCCTGGGGGAGCAGGAAGCGTTAGTTGCTCAATCGTGTCCGACTCTTGGTGACCCCTTGGACTGTAGCCCGCCAGGATCCTCTGTCCATGGGATTTCCCAGGCAAGAATACTGGAGTAGGTTGCCACTTGCTTCTCAGGGGATCTTTCCGACACAGGGGTTGAACCTGAGTCTCTTGCATTGCAGGCAGATTCCTTAAGCTGAGCTACCAGGGAAGAGCAGGAAGCTACCAGTTCTAAAGGGAACTGATGCAGATTGGCTTATTGGTTACCTGGGAAACCAGCTTCAGGCCTGACCTCACGGCCCCTCAGGTTAAAGATGTTTCCCCTTAATAGGCTAGCAGGTGGAGCCCTTCTGGCCTAAGGATCAGAACAATCTCGGGCCTGGAGCAGAGGGTGAGCACTCTCGTGTGAGTGGGCATAGGGGAGGTCCATACGATTCACGCGTGGGACGCATGGACAGCAAGAGAAGTCTCTCTTGTGTCCTGCGATATGCAGTTTAAATGGTTGCGGCAATGTTAAAATTTGTTTGCATTGAGACAAGGAGAAAAGCAAAACCCGGAGACTGCAAACGTGTTTCTTAGGTTCACGCAAAGCTGCCTTGGTGACCCTGCAAGAGTCCTTCCATCTCACGGTGGGTCAGTCTTCTTATCTGAGAAATGGGGGCAGTAACAGGACTGACTCTGCAGTCTTTAATAGAGGCTTTCGCTCTTTTTGTTTATATATATTTTTTAATGTCTTTGGCTCTTTAATAATCAAAAACCATAGTGGGAATTCCCTGGCAGTCCAGTGGTTAGGACTCCAGGGCTTTCATTGCTGTGGATTCGGGTTTCATCTCTGGTCGGGAAAACTAAGATCCTTCAAGCTGAGTGGCAAGGCCAAACAAACAAACAAAAATAACCTAGGAATAGACAGAAGTAAATATAGTTGTACTGTTTAGACCAAAGTTCAGCAAATGAGTTTTCTGGCCAAATCCAGCATGGCCTCTGTTTCTATAAATTCAGCTTTATCAGGACACAGGAAGGCCTGTTTGTGGATGCACCGTCCATGGCTACCCTGGCTCTTTGAAGGTGGGGCTGAGTAGTGGAGCTCTGGCTGGAGAATTTACCCTCTGGCCCTTTACAGAAAAGGTTTGCAGATGGCTGGTTTGGACAAGGAGATAATGGGCAGTTTTGACCCTTCATTTTAGATCCCCTGTTACTATCATCTCTCCCCTTCTTTGCCTGTTTTCAAAGCTGGCAAGGCAAGAGAAATAAGACGGTGCAGGCAGAGGTCTTTTGCACCCATCAGGAACTTTCACGCGAAGGAGTGGAAAGTGAGGTTGGAGAAGGCGGACAGGTGAGAGCCTTCTGAGCTGCTCCAGGGGCTTCTCCTTTGCTGGGTCTTCAGCTCGAGGGCCACGTGGCATTCGTCCTGCTTCCCTCCTGGGGCCCCTCCTCCAGGGCTCTTCACCCCGCCTTCAGATTTGGGCGGCTTCAGCCACGACCCAGAAAAGGAGCAGCCTGCAGCCGGGAGAGCCACCACTACCAGACTCTGCCTGACAGCTCCCTTATGCATTTCCTCTCCTCCCCAAAGATTTGAAATCTGGGTCACGGCGTCAGAGAAAGTGGGAGACACTCGGGGAGTCTGGGGCACTGATTTATGATAATATCAAGGAGTAAGTGGGACACCTGGGTTTCCCAGGTGGCCTTAGAGGCAAAGAACCCGCCTCCCCGTGCAGGAGACTTAAGAGATTTGGGTTTGATCCCTGGGTTGGGAAGATCCTCTGGAGGAGGAAATGGCAACCCACTCCAGTATTCTTGCCTGAAGAATCCTCTGGACAGAGGAGTCTGACAGGCTACAGTCCATGGGGTTGCAAAGAGTCAGACACAACTGAAGCACCTTAGCATGCATGCACAGTCTAGTGCTGGAGTGGGAGTGATGTGGGTGAAATAAGATTGGCCATGTGCTGATCATTGCTTACACTGGTCATGGTGTATGTAGGACATTCCTTACACCAATCTCTCTATGTTTAAAAGTTTCCATCATAGAGCAGTTTAAAAAAAAAACACGTAGAAGCAACGCAGATGCCACTAGACAAGACAATGGGTACATAAACTGAGATGTCATAGCACAGTGGAATCTTCTACAAAGGTGACAATGAATAAATGACAGCTACCTGCAGTTGAATCTTAGAAATATATTCTTGAAGAAATAGCAAATCCCAGAAACACTGATTTATAGAATGATGTCCTTTTATATGAACTTCCCCGGTGGCTCAGCGGTAAAGAAACCCCCTGCCAATGCAGGATACCTGAGGTTTGAGCCCCAGGTTGGGAATATCCCCTGGAGGAGGAAATGGCAATTCCAGCATTCTTGCCTGGGAAATCCCGTGGACAGAGGAGCCTGGCGGGCTACATTTCATGGTGTTGCAAAGAGTTGGACACAAGTGAGCACACACACACACCCGTTTATATAAAGTGAAAAACAACTAAAACGAAACTCTCTACATACATACATGTGCGTATATTAACATTCCAACTTATATCTGAACACATGTGATAAGACTGTTTTAACTGTATGTGAATGTATCTGTATTTAAAGAGCACATATGTGATTTGAAGGGTTTAAAATGGCCTGTACTTTTAAGAAAGCAGGCTTCCCTGGTGGCTCAGGTGGAAAAGAATCTGCCTGCAGTGTGGGAGACCCAGGTTTGATCCCTGGGTTGGGAAGATCCCCTGGA